TGTATGATGAGGCAAACCTGACCATGCTTGTAAGTTTACAGGATTTGTGTAGGAAAGTAGGTTAAAGATTCAAGTCAGAAATCAAACAACTAGGTATATTGTTAAATCACTTATCAAGACTACCCACATCATTGAAGAGCATTTCTAGCAATCATTGAAACCCAAAGGAAAGGGTGGCCAAATCAACCATTTTCTGACAACTTAAGCACTGTTTTAGGAACCTAAGAGATATTAAAGCCTTCTACCAGAGGGTCTGTTGCCATTTCCAACCACTACGTGACATCTGTGATACAAAATTAAAGGTTGTAAAACTCAACAAAGAAACTAGATTATCTTATCACTTAAATAGATCTGAAAAGTCTAGAGAACCACGACCCATCCCAGAAGAGTGTCTGTCCTTGAATGGTCCTCTTCCTGTCCAATAAGGTAGCAGAGAGAGGGAAAGGCTGAGAAGTTAAGAGATTCCAGTTACAGCTGTGGGACATCTGTGTTTTGCAGCAGAGCTCTGACAGAATGTAATAAGTAGCTACAACGTTTGTGCAATAGATACAGCAGAGTGCTAGATACCAACAAAGAATACAAAAGAAATAGAAATTTTTGTTCATCCAGGGACAAAAGGCACAGTTCGGTTATAACTAATGGTCATATGTAAGTCCTTCTTCCCTTGGTATATAATAGTGAGGGCTTATTTTCTGCACCCCCCCAACAAAGTATGTCACCCACTGAAGAAAATTTGGTGGTAGCAAGTTTGTGGACAGTATCTTTTGATGTATGATGCACCACAGAAAAGGCAATTGCCTTAATTTTTGGAGTTCTCTGCCAGGTTGTGCCTATTATGAAAAGATAGCTGTTACATTATAAACAAAGTTTATGGAACTCAGTATTTATCCTTCTGTTCCACATATTTTTCAGCACATAGCCACTTGAGCAGATGAGACCATGTGGAAATTGTAACCTTGGTTTAAAATGATCTAATTGAACGTTTTGAGGTTGGTTGATTATCTGTAAAATGATAAGTATCTTTAAACATAGACTTTCTGGAGAAAAGAATTGCAAACCTTTATTAAATACCTAGTGCCTGCCAGGCACTGAATTCATCACTTTTTCTGGCAGATTATTGAATACTTTGCTTCAAGAGTTCCAAGAAGTATGGACTATTTACCAGCCTCATTTTATAGATAAAGTAATTGGAGCTTAGGTACATGAAATAACTCATCCAGGTCACAGTTAGCTGGGCCAGCAGTCTGATTTCACTGATCATACTCTTAATTAATTTTGGTGAAGTTCATAACTCTTACTTCTGTTGCCTCAATAGAAAGCAGACCTCTGTGCCTGTGTCTTCAGGAGAAGTTCGTTTTCCACCTTGAACTACTAGTGAGTATCCCTCTATGTAAGTCTCAAGCAGCAAAGGTCAAAAGAATTGTTCATTGTGTGTCCACATTTGTTATTTTAGCATCAGTTGTTTACTCCATAATGAATGGTACAAGAGCTTTGTTGTTATAGTTTAAACTTCTGGAGTCATCCTACAGGGCAGGGTAGAAATACTAGTGATATGAACAAGAACAATACTTTATTGTAATAACTATTCTCTTCCCTTACAGAATATTTTAGAGGTTTTGGTATATCAAACAAAAAATACCAGTATTCAACCCCAGGTAAATTGTTATCAAATGGGTAAAAGCTAATTAGTCAAATCAATGATTTGTTTTGAGCTATGAAGTAGATGGAAAATAGCAATGTTCCAAATCAGCAACTGTAATATAACATTAGTGTTGCCACAGGCATTTTCTTTTACTCATCTGCCAGTTTTTTGGGATGGGGACAAGTTTAGGCGATAACTAATTTTTTGGTGAACTTTGTAGAAATTTGTAAGCATCTTTGTTTATTCTTAGAATCCACATTTTGGATGTCAATTCATTTTTAGTAATTGTACCTTCTTTGCTTGGTAGATGATATTTTAATAAGTTATTAAATTTCTTTTCTGGTTCTGAGTGAATTATCCAAAAATCTGGGCCCAAAGTAAATAGTTCTACTAGTTGATGTGTTGATAATGCCTGGGTACTAAGATGGTTTTTATATTTCACTTCATTATTAGGCAGTACTAGTAGTCCCTTTTTCTTTAATAGTTCTTTAACAAGTAATGCTTTTTTTGGCTTACTTACATTTTCATTACATTTAAATTGATTTTTTTCTTTTATAGCTTAAATTTAAGTGGCTTTTTCATGAAAAAAATGACATTTATTATTTCTGCAAAGTATATTAATATAAATTATGGGAGGAAGATTTTATTTGGTAATAGTTTGAGGCACCAGTGACAGTCTCTGTAGGAATACATAATTAATCACTAATCCCTTAGTTTGACTATCTATTAATTATTTGCAAAGGGAGAGTGGGCAGAATTAGCTAAAATTCTCCAAAATCAATGACAAGAGATCATTTTTAATGAGTCCATTCTATCCATTTTTAAAGCTTAGTTGTTTGTCTTTGGATTCCCCAACCTATGTTCTTAACCATTATCAATGAGACTTAGTGACCATGAGTCAAACTAGCTGTGGTCACCGAGGCGAACTATATTAACAACACCTCATATACCTAACATACATGATGAAGATGAGTATAAGGACAGTGACTTAATATAATTAGCCATTATGTGTGAGGCCCTGTGCTGCAGGTGTCTTTATTATCTCATAGCAATCATGAAATTATGTACATCAGTTCTGCATACTGTTTTATAAAGGAACTCCCATGTAGCTGCTATTAGAGATTTTGTGACTATAACCTATAGGATGTTTTCTGCCTGAGAATAGGTACATTAATATTTTTATGAGCTCAATATTTTTAAAAATCTAGTTTTTAAAACCTGCAATCAATACACAACACAACAAACAACATCAAAATGATACACCATCATGGGAAAATGGGACACACTATCATTTAAGTTTCTTTATGGAAAGTAGCAGATGAACTTTGATTTAGTAGGAGGAAAGGACAAGTTTCCACTACCATGGGATGAATCTAATGATAAAATGTAGATAAAACCAGATCTATAGTTCATTGACATTTTTTATTTTTATTGCTACATGTTCCCAATACAACAAACAGCATCAGTAGTGTACACTTTGATAAAAAGAAATTTTTAGCTTTGTAGAAAAGAAAGCTCATAAGTCTGAAGTATAATGAACATTTACATCTTTATGGGAGGTGCATGTATGTGATCATCATATTCCCTGTGGACCAGATGTATGCTCATGCAAGTAAACTAGAGAGAATTTCATTCTAGTGAAATTTTTTTTAATGAAAAAAATCCTTCTATTTAAGGCTCAGGGATTGTTTTACTATCTGGAATTAACCTAATTTAATTCTTGCACAAGGTAGCAGCGATATTTTTAGAGGTATAGAGTCAATGGCTTAGGCTTAAACTATGTAAAAGTCCTTGCACATGCTGTGCTTTGGAAGGTTAACATATAGGTTGCATAATATATTCCCAGACAGTTCCCGTATTGACCTCAAACATTATTGCTTAAGACACTTATCTCCTTCCTATAGTTTAGAAATGTGTCTAATTTACTATTTCATTAAACAGATAGCTGACTTCCTATTTTACGTTTCCTTGAAGGGGAACAAGTCATCAACTACTTTTAAAATGTTTTCATAATGTGAAATTTGTTCAATCTTAGCTCTTTGAGTTAGCTGTGGTGACGATCTAATTTCTTCTACATGCACAGAACAAAGCATGCATCTCTCTAGTTTACCAAAATATGTCATTGTTATTAATGTAAATATTTAGTACATAAAAATACTATCAGAAAAAAATCAACATTTAATAAATATTTTCAGTTTTGTATTCTATATACAAGTACTTTACATCTACTCCCTGGAGAGAGCATTTCTGGCTTCGTTGTGAGCAAGGTGATCACTGACATAAATTACTAGCACATTATTGCAGTCAGATGCATTATAGTTGTGAATATTTGGATATGAACCATGCAGAAAATAAATATCTCAACCATTAACAAATGATTTCTTGAATCTGCTTTCAAAGCACTATTACCCTCAAGTGTCACTTGTAGTCTGATGATACTTTTCTCAGCTACTAACATATGAACAACTGCTCCCAAACATTTTCCTTTGTGACTATTACAGTACATCAAGTATAACTTCATATATCAACAATGGGAGAATTAAAAAAATAACACAAGAATATAGGACATCTCAATGGTGCTTACTGGTTTCAGTTTGTATTATATGGGCTCATTTATTGTTTCCTATGAATACAACTATGCTAAGATAAGTCAATAACAAGGATGAAGGCAATAGGTAAAATGAGATCTGTATATCTGTAATTTCTCTTTTTATAATTTAGGTATTACATCATTGATTCAACAAAAACCATACAAAACAACCTCTTATATTGTCAGTAGCTGTAATTCTAACTTCATAATATTCAGCTTTGAAAGTCAACCTATGGAATGTCAAATAAGGCAGTACTCAATGGCAGGCACCTAGAACATCCAGAAATGTAAGATAGTAAACAATCATTTGAGAACATCTCTTAAAATAATACTGATTTCTGCAATATACAGTATTTACACACAGCTGCAAATTCGCTCATACAATATTTCTAATATAGATAAATAGAAATACAAGTCTAAGAATTCTTTGCCCTATTTCCAAAATTTCTTGAAGTGTAAACCATTGGCATTTTTTTTGAACAAAAAAATCAGCTCATAATCACAACTGTTTCCAGTCCCTTTCTTCTTTAGAGAGCAACCACCATACATAGCAATTTATATCATTCTGTTAATAATCTTTGGTGCTTTCTTCCAATGAATTCTGGTAAACAAGTCAATGCAGAACAAAAGGAGGATGAAAGCAACTAGAAAGTGAACCAGCACTTTTTGTTCTTCCACTTACAGATAAAATAAGTAAACCATCTACGGAGATTTCACTTTCAACAAGCTATATGCACCAGATGGAGAGACAGTTTGTCCGGGTTTCCCTCATCTTTCTAAGGTGGATGAACTTATCGGATGTCTCTTGTTAATAATCTTTTCATCTTTCGTTGAGGTTCTTGCCTGAGAAGAAGCACCTGATGAATCACTGACTTCAAGGAAGGGAGCAGCAGCCACCTGTGAAGTAGCTTGGAAGTGGCCCCTCTTGGTGGGTGAAGAGGATGGTACTGAGGCCAGTCTTGGTGTCTTACTTCCAGCCTGCTGTGCTCTCCTCTGGGGTGAGGTAGCACCATCAGGTCTAATGTTTGGAATGAAAGCAGCATATGCGTTTGGACTTCCCACTGAAGAAATGCTACTCAAAGATTTTTTCCCGGCAGGGGTGTCTGAATAGGAAGGGACTGAAGGTGTAGGCCTCATTGTAGGACCAGGGAGGTCACCAGGGCTAAACACAGCATCATCATGCGTGTCAGCAGCTTCCAGCTGGTATGGTGGTGGCAGGGTGCTATTACGCTTGCCACATGACTCACAACACAGCTTGTTATAACCTGGTATGGAGCAGTACCGTGCCAGCACTTCCATTTGACAAAATATGGACTTGTCTCCTAAACATGGCTCATCTGTAAAACAGAAAAGGAAGAAAACACATCTCTAAACATAGAAGTGAAGCAATTAAAACTGTTAATTACAAAAAGATCTCCATGAAGTCTGCCAATGACAGTTGTTCATGTGAGCCTTTAACAATATGAACATTAAAATGAATTCACTGAAATAGAGTTTTGTGTACAACACCTGTGGGATGATCACTGAGGGTAGTTGGGCTTCTGAGTAAGAATGTACATCTGATTTTAGAATGAGAACAATTTTTTATGAATGTAAGTTCATTGAATAATAGAATCTTATATTTATAAGGGAGTGAAGTTACTCTCATAAAACACTTGACAGGTGTGTGTACCGCACTATTTTTAATGCTTAAAAATTTTAGCAATTGCAGTTTATGAAAACTAAGTTTCAAAAAATGTTCAGCTCATGCAAATGTTAGTGTACACTTATTTTCAGCCAGGAAATATCTTATGGGATTCAGTCATTAAAATTACAGTGTAGGGGCCAGGCATGGTGACACATGCCTGTGATACCAGCTATGTGGGAGGCAGAGATAGGAGGACCATGGACTGAGGCAGGCCCTGGGTAAAAGAGAGAACCTATCTAAAAAAAGTAACTAAAGGCAAAATGGGTATGGTAGAGCACTTGCCTAGCAAGTACTGCCAAAAAAAAATCACAATGTACTACTGAGTGATGGTATATTTCAAGGGAAGAAAGCTGCCATATAACTTGCCAAAGAAATCAGAATTTTTTTCTCTAAACATTTTAAAAAAGAAAGACAGTTGGAGAGGTCAGTACAGGGACAAAATTACAGTTAGGGTTGTCAGACTATGACCATGTCCCAAACTGTGGAATGAATCATTGCCTTGACATTTACAGGTCTGCTCTACAATATGATATGTTTAAATATTTCAGCATCTAGTTGTGAATGCCTGAGGATTACATTAATTGGTTTCACCTCATATCAATTCCTCATGTGTGAGTTATTTTTTCAATGATTATGCCTTAAAATAAGGAAATTTCTTCTTCCAATAGGTTTAAGGTTCCAGTTCCTAGGATGAGAGGACTTTATTCAACAATGTATTCTTTTTCCTCTGACTCCTTTACCCCTGTTCTGGGGCCAAGCTCAGACATGTGATAGCCTCTGTCTTTAAATGTTGAGTACTTGGCCATTGCAGGAAACAGTTCATAGTGGGACCAGAAGATGGTTATGAGATGAAAAGGGAGAAATGCTGAGAAAAGAAAAAACAAATAGGGACTCACATGACCAAATCAATCATTGGATGAGAATGTCAGGAAAAGGGTTTTATACCTGGTCTCAAAAAAACATTTAATTGATTCTAATAGTACTTTGAGACTGGGAAGGGAACTGTTACCTGTTTGACTAAGATACGGTAGAAATATGTAACCTTTAGGCTGAGATTTCAGAAAACAGACAGCTAAAGGAATCCAGTGGAACCACTGCCATAGTTATGCTTTCTTCTTTAGCTTCCTGGTTTTACAATGAGAACATTTTCTTCTAGGTAAATTTTTGCAGCCAATTGGGTACATATCCAGAAACATATAGCTCTACCAATTATTCAGATCAACAAAGCTTAACTGGAAAGTATTCAGCCTCTTGACAGTAATAACTTCATACCTTCTAACTATGTATGGCTTGAGTTTTGAGCTTTCAAATACTTTCCAAGGGGAAATGATGAAATGTGTAAGTCTTATGTCTCCCCCTCATGGTCACACTTGTTCTTGTCATTTCAAGGAAAAATTCATAGTGAAATTCTTAAGATTTAAAGATGTGAATCCTGAAATTTTTGCAAGATAAAATAGTGCTTTGCCAATTTTCTTTAAAAAAAAAAAGAAGCACAGAGGATGGCAATATTCAAGTAATGACTTACTTATGGGGTTACAGGCTGAGAAGAAAGTGACATTTTTAGTTCTGAATCTCACTAGTCTGTCAAATAGCATAGGCAGAAGGAGATAGTCTGATAGAGACAGAAACCATCATATTGGATTTTTTTTGTGTGTTTTAACACAGTAAATGGGTTTACATTTTAAATACATTTCACTTTTACAATACAGCAAGTTGGAAGATCAAGCAAATCCTTAATTTTAGCAGGCACCTATTTTAAAATCACCCTTTACAGGAATGGACAGTCACTGCAAAGGACTGGGGCTGAATACCATTTATTATCCAATGTCTAAATTAAATAATTTTAGTAAAATATTTCAAAACCTACCATGATTAACCAATGTTAATATTTCAAGTGTGTCTTCCTTTGGTTACTTCTTTATAAGCAAATATAATATCCTGAGCTTATCTCTGAAAGGAAATTCTGCTTTGTGAGATTTAAAAAAAATCATAGCAGCAAAATCAGTTAGTCATACCTACCATTACAGGGAGGCAGCTTGCAGACTCTGACAGACTCAGGCTTCTCCCCATCGCAGTGGTCTCCAGCCCTGCAGAGCACCTGCCTCACCTCTGTTCCTTCACCACAGGTCACTGAACACTACAGAGACAAAGGATGCAATTACAGACATTTTTTCCACCAAAACCAGGCACCCCTCACCCCTCGACCCCCAACACACACACACAGAATTTTGGAATTCTTTCTCTATGGAGGCTGTGGTGTTGTGATGGTTTTGAGGACAGATAATCCTGGGTTTACACATTGGCTCCATCTTTTTCCAACATGTTACTTTTTTCTCTTTGATCATCAGCTTCCTCATATGGAAAAACTGAGATAATGATGCCTGCCTCAGAGGACTGCTACAGTAGTAAATGAGGGCAGAAGGAAGCAAGGTATGCAAAGCTGAAGCAAAATGTCTGCAATGAATTTGTGGTAAGCATTCTATAGGAAAGAAGCCATTATGAGGATAAGGTCTATACCTGCTGTTTTGAGGAGCCAAACTTAATTAACTCAACCTCTTTGGAACTACAACCGCTGTATTCCCGTTTAATGAAGGAGCTTATTGCTCTACAACTAAGCCCAGAAATGTCCAGAGTATCAATGTCAATATGAGCTATGAAGGAAAATCTTTGTTCCAGGTCTCTGAGGAGGACTAGCACATGAGTTGTCTTTTTTGTCCTCTGTGGGTGACCTTTGTTTGCCTGCTCCTCCATCATATGGCCCAAGATTTTTTATTTTCAGTCTTTAAAAATACCAAACAAACATCCTACACAAAGTATGGAGTGGAAGCAACATACAAAAACACTGTTTTTGAGAAATCTGTGGAGCAAGGCAAGAAGAAAAGGATGCTGGAGGGAATTTGGGCTACAGCGATGAGCCTTGGTGGAGAAGGGGAAAAGCAAGGCAGATGAAAAGTAGTAGGCTTGAACTAGCATGGTCAGTTTGGAAAAGTGAGAAGTTTACTCAGAGATGAATGGCTAGAATAAAGAAAGACATAGTAAGAGGAGCTAGAGTCATATCAATTGGAGTAGGGCCTTGCATTGGATGCCAGGGGATTGGAATTTATCATGTAGGAATTAGGAAATCAACAAAAAATCTTAGAAGAACAGTGACCTTTCAGCCACCTCTATGTTACAGAACACTAAATATGGCTTGCCCCTACCAACTAATCTTAACTGCAAATATTGTTTTAAAGTATTAATTTTTCCTACCACCACCAGATGATCAAAAAGTATGCCAGTTTTTCACCTTACACAAAGTCTTCTTGTTACTTTAGCTAAATTAAATTTTCTACACATGCTGACACACACTTACACAGAATTCACACACCCACCTCATTCCAGGGCCCTGTTTTCCACTGGGCTGGGCAGGGCACTCTGTTACAGGGCCGACGGCTTTCAGGACGGTCACCCACACAGTACTTGCTGTGCACAGAGCGGTTGGTGCCATCATGTTGTGGCTGAAGACAACGGACAGTGCGAAGCTGGTAGCCAGAATTGCCACAGGTTTTGGTGCAGTGTTCCCACTCTTCTGCTACCCAGCTGTGGGTGTTAGAATAGAGCAGTCAATGGGATGTATATTTTCACAATGGATATCCTAGACTTTTCTGCTCCCTGAACAACTGAAACCAGGAAGTACGATCAACTTTCTAACAATACCAGGTCCAACACTTTTAATGCCCTACTATTTTTTGCTGCTTATCAGTGATGTAGAAACATTCTCCTTTCCTAAAGGATAGCCAACCAAGGGTTTCTGAAACTCTTTTTAAAGCTATCCTGGTTGACTTCATGCATGATGGTAGTTTTCAAAATTACTTAAATATATTGCTTCATGGTATAAAACCCTGAAAGTCAATGAAAATAGGAACCTATCTAATGTTTGCTAAGATAAAAGGGTTTGGCAACTCCTGCTTTCTTCTTGAAATCTGTAGAGTTACTCATTGCTTTACTACTGCAACTAAAATGATTATTGTATGTCAACAGTTGTTGTTGTAACAGACCCACCTATCCTGTGTAATTCATTCTTCTTAGCCCTCACTAGGTCTAACAGAAAGGTAAAGGCAATGTACACCCAGGCATGGGTCAAAACTGCTCTGATGAACTCAACTAGCAGAAATATTTCCAAAAAATATTTCTTATGGGACATTCCCAAATTCTAGTGTTAATATCAGTGCCCCAAACACTGCAAATCAGCTGTGGTTACAATATTTTGAACAGTTCTCTCTTGTATGTATGATTACTGAGTCCTAAAGAGTTTCACTATTGATTCCATCTGGTAACAGAAGTGTTAATGAAGTATACCCCTATATTACATGTGACTTTAAGTGAGAGTCGCTACTGAGGTCTTCAAAATTGAGCTAGTCTACGTTCCACGTTTTATTGCCAGTTTGAGATACTAGAGCAGTGTTAAACTATGAATACCAAAGAGAACAAAGTTCTAGCATGGTTATATTTTTACTTCTTTATATTTAAGGAAAGAAAAAAATCATAGGGGAAAAATAACTTGGAAAGGACAAGTAATCAGCATGCCTCAATTACACATTCACTGATCAACTAGATGAAAGGTGGGTGGGGAGGACTTAAAGAAAAAAAAATCAAAAGAATAATGCATAAGAAAGGAAGTAATATTTAATATCCTAAAAAATTAAATAAGAATCAAATTCCTTGAGAAAGGGTTAATTGATAATCCAGAGAGCTAGATATTGGTCATATTATAGCACATTCCATATATTATGGAACGATGAACAATAACAACCTGAACTACAAATATCCCAGAAAGAACACTGAAAAAGAGAGTATAATTTTCAAAGACAATCTCCTATAGATGAAAAATATTAGTTTTGTGCTTTAAAAAATTCTTCAAGTGTCATTTGAAACAATATGAATAAAGCTTGAGGGCATTGTACTAAGCCAGGCATAGAAAGACACTGCATGACTTCACATGCAGAATCTAAGAAAAGCTGAATTCTTGGATTTAGAGAGCAGAATGGTGGTTACAAAGGAATGGCCACAGGGCCAGGATAGAAGAGATTGGGAGGTATGGATTCAACTGAAACTTTGTGTCATTTCACCAAGTTTTTGACGTCTACTACACAGTATGGTCACTATGGCTAATAATAATGTAATGCATATTCCAAAATTATTAAGAACATATCTAAATATTCAGAGAGGAGGCAAGTATGTAAGGTGAAGGATAGGCTGATTAGCTTGATTGTATCATTCTACTTAAAAAACATCACAATGTACCTCATAAATATGATTGTTGATTTAAAAAAGTCTACAAGTACACAGCATAATGGATGAAAAAAGATAAGTACTGTGGCAGTTTCATCACTGTGGAATTTCAGGACACTGAGAACAGAAAGATAACTAAAAACAGGTCACACAGACTTGTGAATCATAATGACATCAACAGTGGAGTGTGGCAAACAATGTTTTCAAGATTCTGGAGGAAAAATGTATACTACAACTTAGGATATATATGTGTGTGTCTGTGCTTCCAAATTGAGATCAAGAGAGAGAGTAACATCTTTTATAATCTGATACTTCAACCTCATTCACTTTTCCCAGGTGTCAAAGAATTTAATTCCTATATAAACATTTCATTATGTACATACTTTTCCCCCTGAAGTTCTTGAAAAATGTGACCTACTATAATGAATGAATGAACCAAGAGAAGAGAGACAACTAATTCAAGAAACAGAAAACCCCTTACAAGGAAGGGACAGTGGGAATCCCAGGGGACAACTAGGTAGAGTAGAAGACCAGGCTGTGGCACAGAGAACACTTCTGTCTCTATGAAGATGAGAGTGACAAGGTACTTGAGAGTTCAGTATAGAGGGAATTGATACTCAAGGAAGATTTAAGTATGCATTATTAAAAAGTAGTAGAAAACAAAAATTAAAACATTCATTTAAAAACAAAGTTTTACAAGAAAGGAAATATAGTTACTCAGCTGTTAAAATAAGACTTGAATATCAGTAAAAGATGTATCAATATTGGAAATATCAGAGAAAGAATAAGTGTGGCCTTTGGTTGTTTTTAAAAAAATGCTAAATCTTCACATTCCATCATAGTGGAAATTCAATATATAATACCCAACCTTGCCTCACACTAAGGAACAGGAAATTTTTTTTTAACTCAGAGAGATGGAAACACAGCAGTTGAAAGTGGATGTGTTTTAGGAGTGTGGTGAAAGGCAAGGACCCACAGCTTTATATGTAACCTCTCTGAAATGATATGATGAAACCAGGTACACGTACACTTTGATTAAAAGTAAAATCAAAACTAAGAACAGCTAAAGACATATACATTCCTATTTTGACTTCAGGATATGAAAGTGAATATAAATGCTTACAGTGGATGTGTACATTCTTGAATATTGCACATTCGTCTAATAGGTTTTGGCTTTTTATTGGCCTCACAGAAGCTACGATGAACCATTTTATTATCACTTTTCCTACGGCATCCGTATTTAGTGTACTGGAAACCTGGAAAAGGAAACATATTTCCTGAATTTAATCACTTATCCATGCTATTATATATTTGAATATTAATTCATATATTCATTTAAGAAATATTTGAGTACATATATTAAGCAAGGTACTAAGATAGGGGTTAAAGATTCTATCACTTTAAATTGAATGAAAATGAGTTTACAGTGAAAAAAAGCTAATCTTTTCAGAGCCTACATTCAATAAATATTATGAAACAACAACTGTGTACTTGCTAGTAAACTAGAGTCTGAATACAGTCTAGTGTGAGAGGTGGATACAAAAAACACTGTGACAACCAATACCTGGAAATAAAAGTTTTTATAAAGCTATGTGAGTAACTTTCTGCAGAGGGCACCAAAGAACACAAAGTGAAAAGCTTTCAGCTTAGCTGGACTTGCAGTAAGGAAAGCTTATAAGATCAGCACTTCCTTGAGCAGAATCTTGAAGTTCAAATTGCACTGGGTGAAGGAAATGACAGAGAACACCATGGGTGCTTCAGATGGCTGGTGTCATATGTGAAGAGGCAAGAGATGAGAAAGCATCAGATCTTAAAGCCATGAACCCCAGAGAAGTGTTTGGGTTATCCTGAAGGATATAGAGAGTAACTGAAGGAGATCTCCCAGCATTTTCACGTTGATAGATGCTATAAACAATAACAAAAACTAACATTCCAAAAAATTTCAAATCTACAAAAATTTGTGAGAAGCAAAATGAATATTTGTATGCCTTGCATCTAGATTAATCTTTTGCTACTCAGTCTATAGATATATAATTTACTATATATGTAAATTTTTCCTCAACTATGAGAGTAAGTTGTAGACATCATGCTAAACACTTCAGCACATACTTCATTAATGAGTGCATTCTCTTACATAACCACAATTTAATTCTTAAAATCAGGACATTTAAGAGATACAATTATAGAATATAATGTCCAGACCATATTCAAAACCTGTCAACTGCCTTTATAATGTTCTCTATAGCCATGCTTTTCCAACAAGGGATCATGTGTGGCAATTAACTGTCAGATTTCTTTAACCTACATTAACCAAGAATAATTTCTCAACCACATCTTGACTTCTGTGGCATCTAATATTTTTGAAAAGTATAAACCAGATGTTTTATAAAATGTTCCACAACTTGGGTTTAATTGTCTCTTAATGAGATTCAGGGTATTTGTTTTTGGCAATACTACTACTTAAATGATGTGTTTTCAGGGAAACACACTAGAAGACTGAAGGATTTTAATCAGGAAAGTAATTCCATTCATTCAAAAAAATTTTAGCCTAGAAATAAAGGAAGAACGAAAATCAAAGTCAACTAACTAGTTAGGAAACTGTTGTAACAAATTTCCCTCTAAAACAGGTAAGGAAGGAACACATGTGGCACATTTTAAAAAGGTGTATGTAAAAAAAGAGTGTATATGACATACATTATGACCAAATGGATATCGAGAGTACAATAAAAGGGTCCATCCAAATTAAATAAGTGATGTGCAATGGATAATAAAATGTTCTTAATAATTGACTAAAAGCAGTTTATATATCCCTCAAACACTTAGGAAATACATCCTTGAATTTTAAATTATTTTAAAAGAAGGTGTATCTGGGCATTCCCTACTGAGAACAATTTTTTTGTTGTTTTCTTCAATCTCATTTTTGTGACAGCCACTCACCTCCTGCTTGTCGGGGAGAATTGAGACACACTGAGTACAGCTAATGCTTTTATTCTGAAGAAAGCAGAGAGGCAGCATAGTGTAGAATGGAAGTGTTCTCAGAAGCCAGGCTACCTAGGTTATAATCCGCTTGTCTCAGGCAAATCATTTAGCTTCTTTGTGCTTCAGTTTTATCATCAATAAAATGGAGATAAAAATCTCATAGGGACATTGTGAGTATTAATGCACTGATGTATAAAGCATTTGGGACAACAGGTGGCTCCAAATACACAGCATAACCAATTATATAGTTGTAGGTACCTAATAGCTCTTTAATTATCAAAACAAAAAATAAATGCATAGATGTGGAGAAGAAAGGTCACAATGAGTACACTGAAGTTGGGAGTTTTGGAGTTTGGAAAAGGTGATTAAGGATACTACTGCATTGAACACAAGACATAAAGAACCCAAGAGAAAAGACCAAGGAGATTTTCTGGTCTTCCATTGTTATGAATGAAATCCTCTATTTTGCTGATTCTGAGATTTCAGTAATGGTGCTTTGTATTTACATTTTGGTGGTTATGGTTAGTGTCCTCAGTTGCAGCTTCCATTACAGGCAATTCTTAGAGTAGAATCAAGATTTGCTTTTGTAGAAATTACATGATATGATAATGTGTTTAGTTGTTACCTCCACCACAGGGTTTGGAACACTGAGACCAGCTCTTCAAAGCCCACTCAAAAGTATCTAATTCTTCCTGGATAACATTGTTGCTGTTGATTGTAGGCACCGAGTCTTCATGGATGACGTATTTATATGTCAGGCTAGAGCGGGTATCATTCTCCTGAGGTATAATCTAGCATACACATGAAATTGATACATAAGTCAACTGAATTTTAGCTTTGGGGTAAAAGTTTATGAATATTTCAGAGTAGTGTTTTTATTGAAAGTACAAAATTTCAAAGTAGTTTTCAAAATATAATGCTTTTGTTTCATCAACTTAAGTGCATGTTGCAGGGTTTAAGAAAAATGCAAATATATAAAACTATGAACATAAAAAAACTTTATAAGATTCTCTATAGGTTTCTTAGATTATACCACATCTTCAGTGCATTTTAAAGTTGGTATTTTATAATATTTTGTTATAATGATAATTTCCCTCCAGAGTAAATACATTATAGAAAAATATAAAGAAAATTAAAACCATTCATAATTCTACAGAACAAGTGAAAACCAAAGGCAAATTTATTATTTCGGATTAGTCCCTCAAGGTAGGTGCACTGAGTATGTAGACATACATAGTTTTCTGATCTTGTTTATTTTACTTAAAGTGTCATACACATTTCCCAAGACAGTAAATATTCTTAGAAAACATGTTTTTAAATGTCAGCAGAGTCTTTAATACTAAAATGATACATTATTTAAATAATCAATATTAATATTGATTAGCATTTGTATCTTTATGGAACTTTCTGGTTTTCCTCAGTAGGCTAAATGGTACCTGTTTATAGTTTTTTTAATGGGTTGGTGAACAATTGTTACTTTCATAATGAGAGTAGCTGAAAATGCCACATTTAGCACTATATATAATTTTTAACTTTATTAATTGCATGAGAAAAAGATCATTATATGATAAGTGTAAGTTTAGTTTCCCTATTACTCACTTATATTTTGTCCACTGTGCCTTGCATAGTTGTGAGTCCTCTTTAATAGAGAAAATCAGTCTTTTTTGAAAAATGTCTTAATTGATAATTATTGTACCTTTTTGTAGGGTTGTATAATTAACAAAAGGATAAATATGTACAAGCCATTGATATTTTTAATTAAACTTTTATCAACAGGCTTTGTTTGAGAAATAGGTGTTACTGAATCTGAATCCATTGGAGTGAAGGATCTGAGTTGTGTTTTTGTTTTGTTTGTTGTTTTTTTTTTTTTAAACAGCATTAAAAGTGAAGTACTGGGTTGGCTGAGTGGCTAAAGTGAGAGTGCCTGCTTAGTAAACATGAGGTCCTGAGTTCAAATGTCAAGTACCAACTCTCACACTCTAGCCAGACATTTAATTCTTTCAACCCAATAGACTGGCCTCCATGGTCAAGGGCTCCAGACCCGGGGCCCCGTTCTATAAAGTGGAAAAGAAAGTACAGCACTGCTTATCCAACTACCCTGCCTCTCCTAGCTACAAATCTCCTTTTTGTGTCTTGTGCTCACATTATAAGCAGCTGGCAGAGCTTTGAGGCAGTCTATCTACCATGATGGTTATGGTTCACTTGTATACCTAAGCTGCTGGAAAGGAATTTAGTGAAATTATTTATGAGTGAAATAGAGCTTCTGCTCTCCACTCTTTCAATGACCTAAATATAACCTAAATAGAATTTTTATTAGTATATTTTTGCTATAAAATTGTCAAACCAATGGAATAGAGTGAGAACCCATGAATAGATTCACATAAATTTGGACAAGTAAGTTTAAACATAAAAGGAGAACAGACTTTTTTTTCAACAAATAGTACTAGAACTAGATGTTGTAGTGGTTTTAAAAGATGGCAGCCTCTGCAGTAGTTGCACTACCTCACTTTCTCTGTCACTGGAATTGCTCACTCTAAGGGAAGTCAGGGACATGTTTTAGGACACTGAAGCAGCCAATGAAGAGGCTCAGTTGGCAAGCCATGAAGGCCTGCCAGTCACCACATGGAAAAGCTTGGGAGCAATCTTCTGAGGCCCTTTGACAGCCATGTGACTATAACCACCAGGGAGAGCCAGGTATAGCTTAGGCTGGCCTTGAATTTGTAATCCTCCTCTCAAACTCTGGGATTCCAGGTGTGTCCCACCTTGCCCACAATTACCGGGTTATTATTTTTTTTATGAATTGAAATTTGGGGGTTATGAAAAAATTTGCCTACTCCAACATCAAAACATTTCTCCTACTTCTTTTTTGTAAAAATTTTTGTAAAAATTTTGTAAAAATTTGAGACAGAGCAAGACTCTGTCTCAAAAAACCAAGGGCTAAGGATATAGCTCAGTGGTAGACTGCTTGCCTAGCGTGGCAAACCCTAGATTTAGTCTTCAGTATCACAAAACAAAATAAAACCTGGAAAGCTGGACTTTAACTTTAGTAGTGCTAAAAGAAGGAAAAAATAATCTGTGGACTGAAAGAAAATATTTGCTAATCACATATTTCACAGAGGATTTATCAAGTATACATAATCAACTAAATTCTCCATAAAAAGAATAAAACCCAACTTTAACAATAGGCAAAAGATTCAAAAAGGTATTTCAAAAGGGAAATTATTTTCAAACAATAAAAATACTTTTTGGTTGTTGATTAGTAAATAGTTTAAACAGGGAATCCAACAACACATTTCCAAACAAATCAAGTAGATGCTTTCTTCCATGAGAGTAATGGAGTTGCCTTCTTGCTATTAAAAACCATAAAACTGGGCAGAACATATGAGGAAACTTTTGGGGTGAGCAGAGAAAAGAATTAGGTGTGGGTCTTGATGAGGCCAGAATGTGGACCTTGGCCAGGGAGGAAGAGCCTGAGACAGGCCGAGCAGCGTCACTAAGCTGATGAGATGAAGTGGTGGCCTAGAAGCTCCTCAGTAGCTTATCTGAGGACAGGTCTGTGCACACCCTGGCCAATATGCCATGTGCTTTATCAATGAGTGATTATTGGGGGTAGGACAAAAATACCAGAGGTAAGCAAGGCTGAGAGTTGAAGAAGTATCCAGCAAAGTGAAGATGCCTCACCAACACTTGAGGTACTCTGTAAGGTCATGCCACAAGGACAAAATTGACATAGATGAGTCCTAATGAAGACTAAAACCAGGCTTCAAAGAAACAGAAGGATCTGACAAAGACTTAACTGCCTGTTAAACAAAACCAAATAACCAAACACCTTAAAACATCCATAATGCCCAGTATAAAAATAAAGTACAAGTAGGAAAATGTGACCCATAGTCAAAAAGGAAAAAACCAGCCAATAGAACCATACAACATGAAGATCCAGAACTTAAAGAATAAGTTGTTAATAATGAGTAAACATATTTCAGCAGAGAAGTCAAAAGAACTAAATGGAAATAATAGGAAAACACACCATGTGACAAGAAAAAATTTACTAAATAGGCTCAGGGTAGATTGGATATCACATAAGAAACTGTTGGTGAATTTAAACAGAGCTCAATAGATACTAAGAAATCCGAAAACATTTTTTTACAGATTATAAAAGAATAAACAGAGCCTGAGCCTTGTGGAACAGTTTCAACTGGTTTAACAAGCATGTAAAGGAGTTCCATGAATAAAAAAGAAAAAGATGGAGTAGGGGGCAACAACCTTGAAGACATAACAAGAAAATAACCCTAATGGGGTAAAAAACATCAACTTACTGTCAGGATTTCCAATAAATGCAACATTACATGTACAAAGACCACCACAAACTAAGTATTTCATAGAAAAATAGCTACAAAATCAACACAATAAAGAGACAATCCTTAAAAGCAGCCAGACACAATTGGTACACCACATTCGGAGCAGCAATATAAATGAGGCTCTGATCATCAATAACACTTGGAGGACAAGTTTAAGATGCTTCCTGTATATTGCCCCTCAGCTGCTTCTATATTGACAGCAGGCTGAGACCTGTCAGCTCAAAAGTCCTCTACCACAAAATTTTACACATCTGATTAACAAGAAGAATTTTTAGTTATTTATAGCATACCTGCATGAAATGGCACAAAATATTTGCTGGGTGTGAATAAGACTGTGGCTATAAGGATCAGACGCTGCCTGTCTTTAGGAACTTTCTGAGTCAAACTCCCTCCCACCCCCGACTGTGGTGCTACTGAGTGATATCACCTAGACAGAAGGAGTCCCTTCTCGCCTCTGTCCCCTCTTCTCCCTGGGGTCCCTGCTGTTTTCTGAGTGCTAACCCCACTTGCAAACCTATACACAAAGCTTTTGTGTATTACTGCTCTTATATGGTTTTATTTTTTCTTTGCTAGGCCTCTAAATCCCTCTAGTTCCCTATAAAAACATAAAGACATCTTAAAATGCTTTTAAAAAGGAATTAGCAACCCCAGATTCAATATCTAGTGCAGATAGCCTTCAAAATGAGGGTAAAATGATATTTTTGATAAGTAAGAGAATTCTTTGCAAGTACACCCACCACACAAGAAATGCTAAAGGAAGTTCTTTATATTGAAGAAAAATGATACTAGACAGAAAGAATGAAGAGCTTCAGAAATGGTAATATGTGGACAAATATATAAATTTCTTTTTCTTTTTTCATTGTCTTTAAAGAATAAATAGTCATAATACTGTCTTATTCAGGTTATATTACTAAAACATATGACAATGTTTCCTGGGAGAAATAAATAGAATTCTAAAAAGACCAAGCGACTAAATAAACATTCAATGTCCACGAAAAATATTTTCAGGTAAATTATAAAATTAAGCCAACTACATAACAGCTTATAGTGCTACATACCAGAACAATAACAGGATTATGTAAAGGTCCATCAGTGTGAAGAGTTTCAATGTCATCTTCAATGTTATAATCCCACTCCACACCAAGGTCAATGAAGGTCCGTGACTTGGTTTCTTCCCCTTTGCCATTTAAAATGTAGTGACCTGTAGCTTGGTTCTTAATAGCTAAAGGAAGGAAAATAAGTATCCAGAGTAGAATTTTATCACATTACAATGTTGAAGATCCATAGTAAGTCTATCTTCTATAAATTAATGACTATGTTTCTTTATTAGTATCAAGCAATCGAAATGAGTGTTTGCTCTAACAGTATTGCCATTTCCTTCAGTAGAAATTAAAAACTCTCAAGAAGCATTCCTACTGAGTCAAACACAATGCCAAGATGGTTAAATAGGCCAAAATAATGTTTGCAAATATTCCCATTTGAAAACATTGTCAAAGCGATGAATAATTTCTAATTCATTCATTCTATACATTTTCCCAAAAAGCTAGGACCATTTTGGAAATAATGGATACTTCTCCAAGAATTAATATAAGCAATTTATGTTAGTATGTCATATAAAGGTGGTCAAAAGTTAACAGTCTCAAAAAATAGTTGAACTGATTTTCAGGTCAAAAATTTTTCTGATGACTGTAAAATTCCAAGGCCATATCACCTACTTATATAGTTAGAAAAAGCTGCTTTCTGCTGACAGAATTCTTAATATTATAGACCTACTATATATTATAAAATAAAATGCATCTATAGTAGGTAAAATGATAAACTTTAAATCTTAGAGGTGTATATTAGCATAAAATGATTTTAGAAAACAAAATTTCATAAGTTACTACCAACACTGAAAATGTTGGTAGAAAATCTGACTATTTTTAACTAATCTTGTTTTGGAAATTATAATCAATCATACAACTAGATCCATAGGTGCCAGTCAAAAACCTAACACTTTTCAGATATTGGGAAAATTTTACATTAGAGTAGCAATGAATTTTTCTGATCTTATTCCTCAGTTTAGCACCTTTTATTAATATTTTTTCAACTTCTAATACATAACAAAAATGCACAACAAATAAAAACTTGTAAACTAGTTTTCCCTTTATGTAACTTTAAAGTGTTATTTTTGCATGTTTTAAAGTAAGAACAATAAGAAGAAATGAGAAAACCTCACATAATATCCAGTCAGTGAATTGTCTACAATTCTGACTCTTGAATATACACGTACACACATGCACACACACACATATTCCTCTATGTGTGTGATTTCCTTGACATTTCATTGTTTAAGTGCACACTAAAGCAACGCCAGCAGACAGAAACTTACCAAGAATATGAGGAGAAGCCTCGTCTTCTTGGATTGACACATGTCTAGCCCCAGGGGGTATATCAAACATCTTAAGGTACCCTTTGCATGTGTAGTAAATATTGGAGGAAGCAAAGAAGAAAACAAAAGCAACAACCATGGTTAGTTGAGCACTACGTTCTTACAGCTCCTGCATGCAGAAGAGGGCATCCATAAACCAAAAGAAGCAGTTTCAGCGATGTAACTTTGAAACATTGGGAGTCTTTGTGATGTTCTGCAAGGGATTCAGAAAACCTTTCTTTTTATTCAAGAGGGAAAAAAGTGACTCTTGTAACCAACTTATTAATCAGCTATCTTGTATTTACCTAAGAACTGCAGCAATAACAATTCAGGCAAACACTATACTTTCCTGAGTTATGTGACTCTAGTTTCTAAACCACCCTTTCAAAGGGGGCCAGTTTTGAGCAAAAATTCTCCACATGGTGACCTTGAAATAGTTTACCTGCTTACATATTGTTTTAAAAACCTTAAGTGGCAGTCATAGACAGATAATCCATTTACTGAAATATTTTCATATTCAAAAACCTACTTTATTCTAAAGAAATTATAGAAGAAAAATTGATAAATGATTTTTTCTTGTGAATAGCAAGTAATTTTAAAGTTTTAAAAAAGTTTTATGACTTGACTATTTTAAAATACATTTTGTACATTTGACCAAACCATTTAATTTGAAAATATATGCAAGTTATATGTCATGTATTACCTTTACATTCATCTTCTAAGCCAGAAGTGATAAAATCAGTAAGCTTATATTGGTTACTTTGGGTTTTAAATCATGTATCATTCCTATGTTAAAATATGCTTAATATTATCACATGTACTAAACTTATTTTAAGATTACTTAGAGTTATGGTCACAACTATACATATCACCAGTAGTCAGCTCAAATAGACTAAGATGTTATATTTCATTTCCAACAAAAGTAAATAAGACTGATTACAGACTTATGCCTATAATCCCAGCTACTTGAGAGGTCTGAGGTCAGGCTGGGCAAATGTTAGCAGGAGACACTATCTGTAAAAAAAACTAAAAGCAAAAGAACTGGTAACACAGCTCAAGTGGTAGAGCTCAAGACTCTGAGGTTAGGGAGTGCTATATATATTTACATATATATATATATATATATATATGTGCGTGTGTGTGAGGGTGAAATTATGCAGTCTATGCTTTTAGTACATTGTGAAATATCTAATGCACATAATAAAGGATGAGCATTGACAGAAATTCAGTTATCAATATGTAACTGTCAAGGAATCGAAAAAAAGCCATATTTTTGTCATTTGTATATGTATAATTATTATGTACCTACAGGTAGAATTACCCAGCTTTTTCACAATATTTAATAGTGTTCTAAATAAGTGGAGTGATCATGTGGGGACCAGGGTTTTGCATGGTAACCTAAGGTAAAGTCCAAGCCATGAACGGCACCATGTTTGCCTGAGTATGAAATGGCTAGAAGCAACATGCTTGGGATGTCAAGTATAGCAAAACAGCTTGATGCCATTTATGGATGCCATCTTTCTGCAGTTTGCTACAACTTACCCAGTACATTTTTAGCTTCTCTTGTTTCAGCAAGAGAAATATTACGGGCTCCTTTGGGTAAAGTGAAAGCGCCTCTTGTCTTCCCTTAAATAGAATGTCATTAATTAGTGGAGGTTTCATGTTTATCAAAGTCTTGCTGTTTCATTGACTATCCCATAAGCCATATATATTTTATTAGATAAGATATAAAATAGGTTCTGTAATTTTATATGTTGAAGTCAAAATGCATTCACAATGTTAACTAATGCCAATTAACTGTTAATAGTCAATGAAAGTAAGACTAAGCATGAATGCAAAATGATGTAGGTGATTTGAAGTTGAATACTTGCAGATTTCATTTTCCAGCAACGTGAGTTCTTTATGGCACCTCTTGCTTAAATGTTTTCCTGTTGGAAAAGGTTAATTAGTCTTTTAAATTACTGGGATGACATCAGTGCAGAGAAATGGATGCTAAATTGTCTTTGAATGGTTTGATTCAGTATCATTGATGAATGTTTTCTCATATTTTTTGACTTTAATTTGCAGGTATTATTACACATAATACAGAATGAATGAATGACCATGGTAATTTTTCTTACATTAATTCACTCTGGAAATAAAGTAAATTAATTATTTATAGCCAAAAGAAAAAATAATATATAACTTTAAAGTAAGCATAGTTCATTATTTTACAGCAATATGGAGCAAATTGTATTTCATTCTTACCAAATCATAGTATGTATACATATATAAACATTTATAATTCTAATTCTTTTTGCTTTATTAAAATGATACAAAACTATGGTAATAATATAATCATCCAGAAATGACAATATTTGCTTTTAAATAACTTTCAAACAACAAAGCATGATAACTCATCACAAAGGAATAGTAAAAACATCAATAAGTGGAATAGGGGAGTATAGTCACCCAGCTCTGCCATCCTAAATATATCAGCAAAGAAAGCTGATATAAGTGGAATCAACTAGAAATCTAGGGTATAATGGGCATAAAAAGGAATAATAATTATTCCATTTGAATGAAGACTACCATTTTTATAAAATGAAAAATTACCACCATTTCAATGTACTTAAAGTACATTCTATTTGTTCTTCATTTGTTCCTTTTTTTATATATCTTTTATTCATATGTGCATGCAATTTTTGGGTCATTTCTCCCCCCTTCTCATTTATTCTTTATCATTCTATAAGATATTATACTAAGTGTCTTAGAAGATGCAAGAACGTTCAAGAAAGCACACCACCAAGTTTATATGAATGTTGAGTTCCCAGAAGGATTTGCTCAATAAATCCTTATTGATTGATTGAATATTGTGCAAATTGAAGAAATGATTCAGTAATGTTTGTATACAAATCTTTTATGAAAATTCCAATGAACATTGTGAAATTACTAACACTTTTACATATCTGATGCATGAGGATTGCTTTCTGTTCCACATACAGGCCATCAATGTATATTTAACATAGGTTGAAGGCATAAGGAACATAAAAGTTCCCCCTTTTGGTAGTATCTCAATGTTTAAAATAAATTCTTAAAAATTATGTGACATACAGGTCCTTTTAGAGTCATAGATTTATAAACAGGAAGAAATGGCTTAGTTTTAATGTGAAAAGAAGTAAAACTAAATGCAACATTTAAAAGTTATAAAATTTTGTAATTTTCTTAACTTCTGGTCAATTCATGTGCTACAGATAGTCAAAAATAAGCCTTCTAATTATATCTGCACTTTAATAAAAATGCAAAATAAAACATAATGCAGATTTTTGCTAACTTCTATAATTAATATTGACTTTTTTCCTTATCTAATATTAGTAGATATATTTCTCATCATGAATTCTATGGAGTAGGAATTCTAAGTTTTATTTTTTTAAGTAAAAGTAATTAAAATTGAGATAAATTATCAGCTATTTTTTGGTCATATTCATTGAGAAAATCCTGTACTTCTTAAGGAGGATATCTCACAAACATTCAATCACAAGAAGGATATTAATTCACAAGAGTGCTCCAGGACTTACCAAGCTTCCTGGGCGTTCTGGTAAATGTCCCCTTCACAGTTCGACAGTGGGAATTATCTCCTCCACAGACACCACATTTATCCTCAACCTTGTTGGAACCGATTTCTTTATCACAGCCCACTTTCTAGGAAAAGAAGATATTAAATGCAGCTAATTTTAATGTGGTAAGGAGAAAACAACATCCTAGGTCAGGTGTGACAGCTCATGCCTGTAATCCCAGCTACTGAGGAGGCAGAGATTGGGAGGATCATGGTTCTAGAGCAGCCCAGGCAAAAAGTTAGTAAAACCTCTTTTCAACAAGCAGGCATGGTGGTACCTGCCTGTGATCTCAGCTACTCAGGAGGAGTAGGAAGATAGCACCCAGACGCTGGCACAAACTAAAAGTGCAAAATGCTATCTAAAAGAAAAAAATCTAAAGTAAAAAGGATTGGAGGTTTGGTTCAAGTGGTAGAACAGATGCCCTGAGTTCAAACCCCAGTACTAAATAAATAAATAAATATAAACAAAATAAGAAAACATCCCAAAGAATGATGAACTATGTGTTTAATCATAGCCTAGTTAGCAAGTTTGCACCAAACTTTCACTGTTGTCATGAGTTCTCATGCCTCAATCTTTTGAAGAACAAGTGTGTAATCAAATGACTTTTACTCTAAGCAATAAACAGTTTTCCCCAGTCTAATGAAATATTTTCCTAACTTAAGTTGTCCTAATCAAATAAATACTAAGCAAATATGTAGCTAATGTTAGGGAGGAAAAACAATACAATGTTGCTATTCCCTTATTGCGTTCATGTTTATAGTGATGAATAATGATATCATTGCTCTAATTACTATTGAGTTGTACATTACTGCAATCTTTAAGTTAGGATGTGAGACAAAACTTCGTAAAAGCTCAGTAAACTTTCTCGGGCCCTGAAAGAATGTAGAGAAAGTGGAAAGGCATTTCAGGAGTGCAGAGAGTTTCAAACACAGCCTTGGAAATTCTATGTTCATGGAAAGTAAGTTCTGAGACAATATTTAAACCTATATTTAAGTTACTGGAAGGTGAGCGCTGCACAATAGGGAAGAATAGTCAAAGATCTGCACCAGCACAGGATGTAGAGGCTTTGAATGCTAGCTACAACTGACATTTTCACATTAATAGGGAAATACTGAAGGTTTTCTGGACTGGGGCAGGTCCTTAAATAAAATAAATCAGTGTAGGATAATGATAATGATACATGATCACCACAGCACTCATAAGTTTGACACAAAAGTGGGCAGAGAAAATAATGACAGCACATGTAAGTAAGGTGCTTGATACTGTAGGAAGTAAAAAATGACGATGACACATATCCAACTATTACAGTTTGTATGTGCCCCCTCAAAAAGCATGTGTTGGAAATCTAATCTCTAATTAACAGTGTGGGGAGGCAGTACCTAACCAGACATGATTAGATGAGGCCTCAGTGGAAATAGGTTGACTACTGTGAGCAAGCTTATTATAAATTTGCTTCCCTCTTGCTCTCTTTGATACATATGCCCTCTTCCCCTTCTACCATGGGATGGCACAGCAGGAAGGTCTTTGCCAGATATTAAGTAGATGCTGGCACCATGCCTTAGGTCTTTCTAGCCTCCAGAACCGTAAGCCAAATAAATGTATTCATAAATTACCCAACCTGTGGTATTCTGTTACAGCAACATTAAATGGACTAAGATATCTACTTTCAGGGTCACTTTAGTTGAAAAGAGACATCACATCTGCATACTTCAGTTTTGTGAAGTGAAAAGGAAATAGACATTAGGAACAGCATTTCAGTTAATAAGGATCATTTCCTATTAACTGTGAATATGAGCAATAACTGTGTTTTTTAAAAAAGGAGATTAAGTGAGACCAAAAAAAACCCTTTTTCTTCTCTGTAACTTTTGTTCTAACGTGGAATTCACTGCTTAAACGCAGAATCAACTGGAAGACAGCAGAGGGAGAAAGAGACACTGGTATTATCTCTGAAACATAGGACAAATTACACTTAGCATTGGAATCTTTTTAGAAAAGACTTCTAGTTCAATAGTAAGTTGCTATTAGTAAAATGCTCAAGGCAAATCCTTTGTTCCCAAATGCTGTATTCCAAACTAGACATCCACTACTTAGAAAAGGCTGCAACAAATGTGTAAGGAAAACTGTATTTGAATCTTGATTCTGCGAGTGACCAAAGAGTGATTTTAAGCACAATTTGTCTCAAATTTTATTTTTTCTACTCAATTGTTTATAGATTATTGTTATAATATGACTTTGCAAATAAGAATCAGTGGAAAATAATTTAAAATATGTGTACAAATGGTAATAAACATAGAGTTGCCCACTACCATAGGAAGCTTTGAGGAAGCAGTTTTAACTTACTACACACTCTCCTCGCACACATATGCTATACGGGTCTTTGTAAGAACAGCGTGTTCCATCGTGTACTAGTTGTTTCATATAAGCAACATCTCCAGTCTCTTTGGATTGACAGTAAAGGTGGCATCTTTTCTTGGCTGCATAAAAAGGAAGATAAAATTAACTCTACATAAAAATAGAATATTCGGACAGCATAGTTTATTTTTAAAGCACAAATTTTCAATATGGGTTCTTGAAAGCAAAAGAAACACTGTATAAATAAGTAAAATAAGGACTAAGAGAAATGTGCAAAAATGCCAGTATGCATATTTGTTTTAATGTGAGCGATAATCAATTTGTCATCTAAACTACTGAATGTGAAAAGAGATCAATTAATAAATGTACATTATATTATATATATTTTGCATCAAGTATAAATTGGGACTGTCTTAGTCTTCCAGGTTGTAGATTTCACCACAACTCTTAAATAAAATTTTTTTTATTCATTTATTCACATGTGCATACATTGTTTGGGTCATTTCTCCACCCTACCCTCCTCCTCCTTCTCCCTCTCCCCACTCCTCCCCTCAGTTCCAGGCAGGTCCTGTTCTGCCCTTATCACTAATTTTGCTGAAGAAAAGACACAAGCATAATAAGGAAGACAAAGCGTTTTTGCTAGTTAAGAATAGCTATACAGAGAGTCCTACTATTGCTTTCATGTACCCATGTGTTACAACCCATGTTGATTCATCTCTAACTGATCTTTACACTAATGCCTAATCCCCTTCTCATGTTGACCTCTGTCACTTTAAGGTTTCTGTATTAGTTCCTCTGGATTAAATAAACTTTGATTCAAAACCAGTTTTGTGTTACTAATATTCCAAACACTGAAAGGGCTTCTCTTTGGTTTGACTCAATCCATAGTACAGTCTTTGTCCTTTGTAGCATCTCATCAAAATTTATGTGACTCACTTAACCAAAATAAATTTTAAAATAGTGCATTTATTTTGAATGTGTTGCAACTTTGACCTATATGTACTTACCATTTTTTTAAAAGAGCTATAAACTGAATCCAGTGGCATATTATATCATGATAGTTATGTAACATTTTCTTTTATTCACCCATAAGAAATATGACAAGAGGTTTCTATCTAAAGATATTTAATCAAGAATTCAAGGGTAAGAAGTGAAACATTAAAAGAGAATTTCCAAGTGTATTTTTTGATTACTAGTGTATAAAAGTAAAAGGTTATGAAATGCTTTTTACTATTAAATAATGGTCTCTTTCTTGGTCTTGACTCAACTGTAAAAGGACTATAGTTTTCGCTCTTTATTTCCTGGTAGAGGGATATCAGCTGAATCAGGAAATTCAATATCTCCCACGCACTGCTTCAGTTTCACTAGCAATGGTGATCAGGCTGTTTGCGAGAAAGTACTTCTATCACAATCCCTAGCTTTCTACAGAAAGGAGTCCTTTAGCCTGATCATTGGAAACCTAGGAGGACTTTCCCCTATAAGCACCATGTTTCCTGTGTTACCAAGTAAGGATCAAGAATCCAAGGGGTTGGGGTTGGCAAACTTAAACTCATTTAAGTGACCGTCCACACAGCAGGAAAAAGAGAGCGTCTACTCACAGTCAGGGTGTTCATATGGCAACCAGTGGTGTTTGGTATTCTGGTATTCAAAGTGGGAGTTACGCTGCTGGCACTGCTGTGCTCTGAAGTCCTCAAAGTGCTTTTGGCATTCTTCTGTATTACAAAGCTGGTACTCGAAATTAACACCAGGACAATCCTGACCACCATTGATGGGCCTAAAGAAAAGACAACATTTAAAAAGGCAGTTTGGCTTTGGCCCAGAACTCAAGCTTGCAGACATAGTGCTAGAGGGCAGAGAGCCAGAGCTTCTGAGCTTCCAGTACAGAGTGAATGAACTCATACTTCCTAATTCCAGTCCCTTCCTAAAACACTCCTCTTTATTTGCTGTGGGGTAAAAGACCCCAAAACTCAACTTACATCAGCTTTCCAAACACTATGTTTTAAACACATGGCAAAAGTATACAAAGAGATCAAAAGCATGTACAGGGACTCAAAAACTTATATTTCTACCATGTGCAAAACATGTAGATGTGACTCAAAGGAACTTTGATCATAGCTCTATATCTCTGTTTCTTCCTAGATAAAATGCAAATAAAAAACTATCATTCAAAGAGAAAAGTTACAAGGATTAAATAAGATAAAATGTTTAAAGCTCTTAGAACAGACCCTGACTCATAGTGAACCTTTGTTTTTCTTCCTATTAAACATTGATTGGTCTTGTTACTTCTAATATTATTATCATCTCTTTTCATGAAGACAGGTTTGCGTCCCCTGTAGTCTTTATAAGACATGCTTAGAGTTATCCTGTTGCCAGAAACAGAGAAAGGGCTTTTACATGTTAAACTAGAGATAACAAAGAATGTCCTAAGTTTAATAATTTCATTTTTTTGTTTGCAAAATAAAAAAGAGCATATGATAAGGACTGAATAAGTTAGGGCTGAGTGAATGAATGTCTTCTCTGGCAGTAGTTCCCTGGACATCTGTTACTATCTTTCTTTTCCCTACTCTGAAGTGATCCCACCTACCCCAGGAATGAATCTGTGTGGTTGGTAGTGCTCCTGCCCCAAGCCCCTTGCTGCTGGAGGTGGGTCTCATAGTCTACAGTGCCCTGGCCCTATGGCCACCTTAATCCATTGGCTCATTTCCTTCATACTCCCGAACAGCAATTTTCCAAAGTCTCTCATTCGAGCTTTTCATCTTCATCATCGACTAGTCTTTACCAGATTAATAAATGAAGATTTATACAAATACACTGGTTTCTGAACTATAAACAATGTGTTTTTATGTACTGTATTTTGCATGCAGTTTATGAAACAGAATACAAATAATGGTCTATCCAAAGGTAACAAAGATTTTAGGAATTACACTCACGTGGGGTTATTGCATTGGCGTGTTCTGAAACGAACACCAGTTCCACACGTCCTGGAACAGGAGCCAAATTTGGTCCAAGACCCCCAATTGCCATCTTGTTTTTGTTGATTAGCATTCTTCCACATGCAATGACCCTTATAGCACCACTTAGGAAAGTAACAAGAGACAATGGTGAAAATCATGCATACACTAAAGCTGAAGGTGTTATATAAGAACCACTTACTTAGTCTTCACTTTTTGTTTTTCCTCCAGGGAAAGGTACATTTAAAATATCCAAAAGTAATTATACCACTAAGATGCTCTAACTTAGGGTTGCATTTTAAAGTATAATATTAAATTAAAGAGGTAACATTCACTCAGACACATTTTTAAACCACACACTCAACAGTGAGAATCAGGAATCATCATCAATTTTCTGAGTGCCAACTTGCCCAATAGGTATTATTCTACCACTCATTTCTCATTACCTATATCATCTCAGGGCTTACTAAGGGCAATGTACTCAACTTAAAGTGATGATGGGAAAATACATATCTCAACTTAGGACATAACTAACACAAAATACCCCAAGCCATGTTCAGCTTTCAAAGCACTTTTATTTCTTTATAAAATTGTAATTCATAGTGATTCTTCTAGGAAATAAATCAGATGATGATCTTCACTTTTTAGATGAGGATAATTAGGGCACAAAATTTCCTGAGTAGTTGAAGGGCCATCTGATGAAGAAGCAACTAAGGCGACTACTACAACCTTGATCCCACAGAGACACTTATTTGTGGTGCCCAGGATACAACATGTATTCAAAAGGTGTTGTCTTCCTTTCCAACATTTCAACTTGCTTTTTTATACTTCATACAATAAAATTATTGCTTAAAACCCAATGTTTGTAAGCTTAATTATAATACAATTATATTTAGGGCAGTTGGATGTTGAGAGTTGATTAGAGGATATCTTTTTTAATAAAGCAAAAATAACTCATTATTGCTCTTGTTTTCAGATAAAAGTTTAAAGTGAACTTTCCCAAAGGAAGACACTATATATAATGTAGTTGGCACAGTGTCTGATATAATGCAAGTAATCATAATGACAGGTTTATTATCATGCATAATTTATTAGAAGTAGTTTATACAATTTGAAATTGACCTTTAAAAGAGCTAAAAGCTATATTCATCTTCTTTGCCAGCTTTTGGTCCTGTCTACAAAATCTTACTTCTAAACTAGTCATGGCTCTTCAACTTGAGTTCTTAACGTGCCTTTGTTTTGGGATCTTTGCCCTTACGAGAAGCATACTTTGGCAGTTTGTAGGCATTCAGGCCCAACTACATAATTTGAGATTTAAAACCTCTGGGCATCTTTCCCGAAGGACTGAGGCCAAATCTTCTGTATAAATTCACATGACTTTATTTCTGGGCAGCTTTCACAAGGAGTAGGATGCCAACAAGTAAATCAAATCCTACTAGCAAGGGGCAGCGTTTCTGCTGAGCTGTTTCTTCCCATTCTATCTATAGTGGGCTGAATGGTGGTCCCAAAGACAACAGTTTCTAATCCCTGGAACTATAAATGTGACCTTATTTGGAAAAAGGGTCTTTGTGAGTGTGGATTAAATCAAGGATTTCAAATCAAAGAGATTGTCCTGCTTTATCCAGGTGGGCCCAATATGCCACTACATGTATCCTTACAGGAAAGAAGCGGAGGGAGATTTGATACCCACAGAAGAGGAACAGGCAAATTGACTACAAGGGCAGAGGTCAGAGCAGTGTAGCCATAAATAAGAAATGTGGTTGGCCACTGGAAGCTGGGAGAGGCAATGAACAAATACTCCATAAGACCTCCGGATGGAGTTTGACCCCTGTTCACAGACTGACTTAAGCTAGGTGAATCTCATTGGATTTCTGGCCTCCAGAACTGTGACAGAATATATTTCTGGTGCTTTAAGCCACTAAGTTTGTGGTAATTTATTACAGGAAAGTAAAACACTATCTCAGTGGATTACCATAAAGAGATCTTTGGTACTGTGGCTTCCATAAAGATGACAGTATAGAACGTTCTCCATTTGCTAGATTTTTAAAGATTACCATGCAACATATCATAAAGCTTCATTGTATAAATAGATATACTCACTTTTCCAGCAGCACATTCAGTCCCATCAAGTGGGGGTCCCTTTTTAGTCTTACAAAAGTAGGGATTATCAGGATGGCTGCACCACAACTGTTTACATGGGTCAAAGGTCCGGAACTGGAAGAGAGATGCAAACTCTTGGTGAACTCTCAGATAGCAGGACATGCACTATTATATTCTATACAGTTTCTTCGTGTTATGTTTCTTGGATATTTTCATTTCAAGTTAATAGCCAAAGTGGTGACATGTAAAAATATAAATACTGCATAAGAATTCCAAATAGGAAATACTTATATTCTGCTTTTCTAAAACAGCAATGACGTGTATGGAATTTTCTGCTTGACTTTTAATGTTTCTGCCTGCTGCTTCTATTTTCTGGTTTTCAAATAGATAATATTGGAATTAAAAATATTTTTAGTAGTTATTATGAATATTTTAAACATGAAATTTAATTTTAATGGTTTAATAGCCCTCAAGCTATGACATTGTTTCTCTTCATCCCCGTAGGTTACAAACTAGAAATAAATAATAGAATGCTAATAATTAGTTGACTAAAAGCAGAAAATATCTGTAATCTTTCTGTGTAAGTTAAGGTATGATGGTATAGTTAGTTATACATTCACATAGATTATGGTGTACTTTCTATGTACTCTATCCTCACACCAATCCGTGACTGAGAAATGAAGTGACAAGTTAAAGCTATTGTTAGTTATAAGACTGTAACAGAGCCAGACTAGAATCTTGGTTTTTCTTACTATTCAGAATGTGTCTTATTTTCTTAAAGCACCACACTATAGTATCTAAATGTTTACATAAACACACATATTATTTGTGCTTACTCTTTGTTCATCTGTTCTTTTCTGTCTAAATGCAAACATCTCACTATTCTTTAGATCTTTTAAAAATATCAGTTTATCCATCTATCTATTTGCTCACATGGCTAATGACCTATCACAGCCTTATGACCATAGATTCTATTAGTGCCCATTTTTAAACCTGAATTTATTTGTTCTAATCACTATTAGCCAATATAGAAATTGAATTTTTTATGACATTAACATTGTTGGTATTCTTAGATCTAAAGCATTAGTGAAGATAATTAGGAGTTGACAGTGTATACCTCATAGACAGGTGAAATGCTGTAAATGGAAGATTCCAAACACTGAATTAATTTCTTTTCGGTATCAAAAAATAATTTTTACTTTACTCTTACACAAAAAGTTTGCTCTAACATATAAAAAGGCTTTCTTTTTTCTTTTTCTTGTTTTTTTTTTACATGAAATACTAAAGGTCAGCTTGGAAATTTAATGACACATATCTCTAATCTGAATAATTACACGGAAGACTGATTTTAACAGATTCATTGAACATATATTATGTGCTTACATTATGCTAAGCACTTTAATAGCATTATCCCATTTAATCCTCTCATTAATCCTAGGAGATAAAAACTATCATCATCCACATTTACACATGAGGAGACTAAGTCAGAAAGATTGAACAATGTGGCAAGGTCATACATTTAATAAGTGTCAAATCCAAGACCTGATCCACCTTATCTATGACATCCACATCTTGATAACTATGCTATGCCATTTGATTTTAATATGGCAATGTACCAGCAGAACCCTTTCCCATGGTCACAAATGCATGGAATATTGGGCTATCAAGACACAGAAAAACAATGTATTCAAAGCTTAAGAGCCATATGAAGATCACAAAAACAAGGGGAAGAATACAGCACAATGATTTGGAGACTGAGAGTTTCGATTCAAAGACAAGCACCCTATTTACTAGATATATAGCCTCAGAATGTTGTTTAACCTCTGTACTTCAGGGCTTTTTCTTCCATAAAAGAAAAGTGTAACAGCTCCCTTTTAGTCTGTCATGAGGAATAAGCAAGATAGTACATTTAAGAACTTTGCTTTACCATCTAACAACCTAACAAACACAAGATATTTTGTAGGTATTCTTATACTTGTACCACCACGAATCTGTAAAGCTCCTCAGATAGGAGCTACACAAATAGATTTCAAGATGCAAAATCTAAATTGACTGTGGGTAACATACCGCAGTGCACATTTTGTAACCAACACCAAAATCAAAACGACATTGATCATCCATAGAATAATTTATTCCGGGAAGTTCTGGGAGTTTGGGCCAATCATGTTCAAAAGGGTCATCAAGGAGACAATCATAGGAACTGCAGGAAGAAAACATTACATGTAGTTAAATGTTCCTTTTAAAACCAAGTCTTAGTGAAAGGGACTCTTTCTTATATATTCTAGAATTTTATCAGAACCTAGATTAAGTTCACATAAGCATACATTTAAAGTTTTCTTTTTAAAATTTTATTTCCATTTAGCAAAAAGTCCTTCATCCTTATTCATGCCTGGAAAGTAATCCAAGCATGACTCAGGAATGCAGTACATACGTAGCAGCCTTACTCATGTCACTAAGTGAACCTCCACATGGTGTGGCATGGCAGATCCTAACACCTACATTACAGAGTACAGGTGGTATAACAAGAAGGAATCACATGACCATCTTCTCCCCATCTCCAACTCACATTTGACCATTAGTCAAAGATTTCATAAAGGATTTACCAAAAGGAAATCACCTCGAAGTTAAAAGTGCATTTATGTTCTAGGATTATGGCTTAAAACATTGTGGTTATTTTATGGAATTCTGGTGCCAAAATCGCCTAGTCAGACAAGTTTTACTATCAATAATAGCTTCACTTCCCTCCCCCGCTGACACACAAACACCCCGAGTGGTACTAGTGTTTTACAGTTTTCACACTTGTTAGGCAGGTGTTCTACTGCTTGAGCCATGTCCCCAAAGCTCTAGTTTCATTTATTAGGAACTTTGTTCTGACCAAGGTCCCAAGAGTCAATTTCATGTTTATAAGTGCTCTCATTACATGCAATGGGGTACCTACTGGATATATCTTTTCAGTTCCTGACCACTGCATCGAGACCAGTGGTAGCGATGAAAGGCTGCTTGTACCAAGGGAGCCATGACACTGCCCATAGCAGTCTCATCACCACACCTGTTGCCTTGTCCATCATGCTCCATTCCCAACCTAGAACACAAAGGAGACCTCATTGGTAAGACTCAGAAAAGCTCCAGTTTTTGCTTAGCTTCTTTTTTGACAATAAGTACTGAGAAAGATGTATTTTGTAAGTCAGCACTGCTTCCTCGGAGAAGTCACAGACATGGAAATCAAGAGCAATCTGACAGAAATGCCTTTCTTATTCTGTAGCTATGAAAAGCACAGAGGTGCCTCTACAAGACAGGCACTCATTGAGTTTCAGTGCATGACCCCTTCACTGTTCGCAACTCCTCACACTTGGCAAGGGATGAGAATTGTATGCTGGCATGCATTCTGCCCAAAGTGTGAACAATACTGGAAGAAGTGAAGAAAAGACCTTTTTTTTCTGTAAAGCTGTCAACAGTGACTTACACATGGCCAGTTTCATGGGCTACTACAAAAGCTGATGAAAAGCCATCCTCATGATTCAGGGTACAACTTCTCACTGGATGACACATGCCTGTGACTGGAGCATATCCTGTAGAGAATAACAATTACTTTTATTTTCATTTGTGAGAAAACTCATTAAGAATTACTACTGGACCTTTGCCTGGGATGGGGAGGAGCAGTGTTTCAGCAAACAGGAGCAGCATTATTTCCCTGCTGCAATATGCCACATTCTCTTGGGAAAACCACAGGTAATAGTCTCTAAAAAGATTCACTGGGTCTGTATTTTCTCCTTTCTTAAGGGAAAGAACTGTCTGGGTTACCATTCTGTTCTACCCCCCAGCTAAGCCTTGCCTTTCTGTTTTAGAAAATGGTCCTTCATATCATGGTACCAATGAAAGGAGCCAGAAATTCATCAATGTTGAAAAGAAAATCATCAGTCTACTTTTTCCAAAGTCCACATCAGAATTAATTAGATAAATGTAAGCTGACTTTGGAAGAAAGCTCCTTGGCAGCAGTCACTTCTCATGGCATCTCTTCTCATTCGAAATAGTTAGTGGAAATCACACTGCATTTTTACAGCATCCCCTCCATACCCCAAATGTACAATCATTATTTTAAAGGCAACTATAATTTACTATGGTATTTATGTGGCATTTACATTATGAATTCCACAGAAGTCACTGGAAGCAATGGAAAGAAAATGTATGTTTGGCTAGTGCCTGGTGGAAAGTGGCAGTAGAGATTTGAACATTTGAGCAGATTGCCTGCTTTAAGATTAGTTTTGAAAGTCATGTCCTTAAGTTTGTCTTCTACATATTAATGGTAATACCTTGCATTCCTGCAGGTCCAAAGTCTTGCCTGGTTAAGAAAATTGCATGATCATGGTGTTCAGAGTGGTTGGGATCAGGTTTTTGTTGCTGGCAAGCCCAGCGACACACATTCTCCAAGCTCCTGGATGGATTTCCCCTTTCTATGAGACTGATGGACTGAGAGAGAACAACATGTTAAAGAGACATATATTGTTTTCTTAAAGGCTTCTGTTAATAACTTTTTCTGAAGTTGAAATTTGGGAATTGCAATACTTGAGCAATGATTCAGTATAATATCATTTGGGGCATTCACTTTGGTTTGGGAATTCTAAATGTCCATGAAGGATATTTTGATAATGATCAATGCTATGTGTGAAAGTTAACAGACACAATTTATGGGAATGTCCAATGCTGGGATTTACTATAGCGAGGCAACTTAATAGTATTCATTAAGGGAAGAATTTTAGACTTCTAAAATATTTCCTGATTCTGCTCAGCTTCTAAATTTTGTACATGTTAAGAACAAATGTTCTGGCATGAGACTTTTTTCTAGAGATATGAAAGTAAAAGATCTTAGTTAAGACTTTTGTGTATATATTCAGTCCAGAATTAATCAACACGTGGGAAGAATAGAAGTTTTTCCATGAGCTGACAAGGCTGGTCAAATCTTAGCTTATGGGAAACAAATTATGTTAACTTCCTCCTAAAAAAATTTACCACAACAGTATTTAACCTCATGATAATGAAGAGCGATGAACTCTTATCTTGTAGTTCCAAGAGATAAATTTAAGGTACTTGGAATGCTGCCACCATCACAGTATGGTTGGGAGTTAATAGTTCAGGGGAAAAGGCCCATCCTTTAAGAACCGAGATGCTGTACTTCCCAGAGTTGAACTCAGAGTCTAAAATGAGGCTCTAGTCAGATGACAGACTGAGAGCTTTGTTAAATTTCAGCAAATGTTATTATCAGTGTTTACATTCTTAGTAAAATTAGCTTGGTTTGTTACATGCTGATCAGATATTTCTCCAAACAAATGATTTAACAACCAACCAAAGGCTATTAACATCTCCAGCTGGAGTTAGCTTGTTCCTTGGTGGCAATGCAAAGTAGGTCAGGTTTATGGCAGAAACTAAGATCAATGATACCTTATCATTCCGAAATGATAAATGGATGTTAAATACAGAATGAAATGCAAACACACGGGATCTTGCCATATCTTATATGGAGAAATTCACTAGTATTTCATAATCAGGAGGCTTAATTATGGGAGAGGGACATGTAATTTTAAACATCAAGAAAATTGCCAAGTTACTTCCTCTATGTTTCATCCTCAAAGGAAGAATACTTTTCATCTATTTCATTGTTTCCAAAGACAGAAGCATATCCAATACCATTTTAAGCTAGTTAAAGTTAATTACATTACATGAAATGCCTACCATGTGCATTTTGATCCAAAGTTTTGTTTTCAAATAGATTAAAGCTCTTTTAAGTGAAAAATATTTACTGTGTCGCTTTTCAGTAAAAAAAATACATGTAAAATGTTATGTAACAAATTAAGAGAAAAATCTTTGTTTCTTCATTGATATATTCCAAGCACTTTGAAAGTATCTGTCACATAGTAGGCACTTACTATAGGCACTTTTGAATGAATATATGAATGACAAACTTGATAACAAGCTAAGAAAATTCTTTTCTCTTAATGGCATTCATTTATTTTCACTCAGTCAGCTATGCCTAAAGCCAAGACACCTATCTACAGCTTTATTATGCAGAAGTAAGAAAGACAACAGCAGCCTAAGAATCACTAGCTGCTCTAATTTGGAGATCTCCACTCATTGTAACAACTTCTCCTCCTCAGCCTGGGGCAACCAGGGGTCCATATGAGACACAGGGTCTCTGCAGCTTCAGGCATTAAGTCTTGCACCTCTAACCCAGCCCTTAATGTTCACAACTCACATATTTTAAGACATTTTACCTTTGCGTAACCCAGCATTATCATGCGGACCAGGACCACATTTATATGCACTCCCAGGGACTCCTCATGGTAAATTTCATTCACCTGGAAACAGAGCAGATGATTGCTAAAAGAAAGGCAACATGAAGGATTTCATGAGATGTGCAACTTTTAAAGGTTGCAAACCACCACAACTACTGGAGTCAAATTACTTTAAAAAAATTTAGTTTAAGATGAACTCTGAAGTGAAGTAATTTACTGATTCTGTGAACTCCGCAGTAATATGAACATAGAAAATGTGCTCTAAAAGGGCTTCATTAAACTATTGTAGTGTTAAAGAGTCTCTGTGTGTGAAGCATGTATCTATGTTTGTTGATGCAACAGATAAGATCCACCAAAAGCACCTACTAAAGAATGACCTTGAGAGGCCCTGCAGCCAAACTGGAGGAAAACAGACAGCAAGCATTTTCCACTGGGAGGTCCATGTGGCCAGCAGGGTGACTCCCAGCGCTCCCCTGTATATAGCAGCTGGGGTAATAATTTAAAAGTACTATAGGACAGATGTCTTTCAATATCTGAACTATTAAGGTGATTATACACATGAATGTCAGATGACCCTCAGCTCTAGATGCAACTCAGAAGAGCTAAATTGAATCACTGCTTGCTACTTAATTTTTAAAGTTAGACTGAACTTTTTCAAAGTGATTTTGTATGGCTTAATACCACAGAAATTGGAATTAAAGCAACTTTAAAGGTCATAGTTCAACTCCGACTTCTACAGACAAGGAAGATGAAGCCTGAGAGATTAAGTGATATGCAAAGTCACACAGTGAGTTATTGGCAGATATTAATCTAAAGTGGACTATAATTGCATCTTCTGATTAAGCCAGTGCAAAATGAGTGCAAACAAAAACTGCTCAACTTGGCAAATGCTAGCAGGAATGAGAAAGATGGCTAGATTACAAAATTCTTAGCTGTTCCCAAGAACAAGGATCCAACACTTGTCACAATAACTAAATGAGGGAGGGAAATGAATTACAATTTAACCTGAGACCCAGGAGGCTTGGACAGTAGGCACAGCAGCAAATCTAAAACTGTCAGAAGAAAGATAGACATAATCCCATAGGAAGAGGCTTTAAAAATACATATAACTCAGGAACCATGGAATGCTGTCAGTAGAGAAATACATAAATTTTAAATCTGTGACTTGCTACGCTGACCAAGAAACAAACCAGGAAACTCAATTTAATGTATCAAGAATCTAGCGTGACTACACAGACACCTTAAAAAATCAAGGCCTTCGATTGTACATTAAGGCATTCCCAGTGAATTTATAGACAAAAACAAAAGGGAAAGAACAGCAAAGATGGAAGAAAAAGACCTGACTCAGCCAGAATATACTACAGATGACAAAGTGTACTTTCACAAGAAAAGATGTAAACTTCTTTTAAGTGGAAAAACATGTGTGTATATTTACACACATACATTTATAAACACACATGCATACATGTGCACACATGCATGTGCACAGAACAGTGAAGTCCAATTTAAGACCTGTGCAAGATAAGCCAAGATGTGAAAAAAAATCTGCAAAATATTCTTAAATCACATAGTAATGCAGCAGGTAGCTCATGCTGAAGTTGTCCCATTCTTGGCTAGAGTATACCTGAACTCTTGAGTTCATTTTTCTGTGCTATCTTATAAGACAGGAATTCAACAAACATGATAGCATTCAGGGAAGAGAAGAAAACCCCACAAATGTGCCATATAAAGAAGAGTTGGGGAAAGATGGAGGTCAACATCCTAGACATGAGACGTCTCAGATAATCCTGGTCCAGCTCCTCACTGCTCGTGAGATTTTCATCTCTCTGAGTCTGAATCAAATGGATTTGTTTAAAAATACTATCTTAAGCAGGTGGAGTGGCTCAAGTGGTACAGCGCCTGCTTATCAAGAGTGAGGCCCTGAGTTCAAGTCCCAGTACCCCCGCCAAAAATACTATCTTACAGGATTGGGTTAAGAATTAAAATAGTTAACTCATGCAAACATATTTTATAATATGAGGATGGAAAGTCCTCTAAACAGCATCAGAGTACAGGAAATGAAAAATCCAGAAAGAAGACTAAATAGCTGTCATATGGAAGGGAAGTTAGATTTATGCTTTATACCTATAGAAACTAAAACTAGAACCACATTATTCAAAGGGTAGTTTTCAGTTCAACATAAAGAAAAACTGGATGCTACACCAAAATCTGTGATTTCTTCATTCTCTTATCCTACACCATACCTCATACTGTCTAACTGAAGACTGAATATCCCCACCCTCTTCTTCTTGATTAATTATCTAGTAAAAAAATTCCTAGCATTATAGTTCCAATAAAAGTAAAAAGTCTATACCCAGATGTGTCCCTAACACATTCATTCAGAAACTCATGGACATTCCAACAGACTTCTTATACAGGAGCTGTTTCAAATTCAAAATGTGGTCTCACATACAAAGGTGTAACACAAAGTTATTTATTATGAGTGAACTGTAAAAGCACTTGATTTTTTTTTAAAAAAAGTTATAAACAGTGTTATAATAAACCAACTTGAAGAATAATAAAATTTAAAACTAAAGAAAGTTTATAGGGAAAAAAGTAAGTTAATTTCTAGAGAAGAAGTGACAGAGAGCAAGAGGCACAGCCATTGCTGAACAGCAGTGATGACTGTAGCATTTGTAATACATAAATGTCACAGGAAGCACCCCAAACAGAAGATCTGAGACTCATAAAGTGAAGGAAAGGTGGTAATAACAACAAATAGTTTGTGATATTTGAGTTGGTATAAAATGTGCACATTGTTGCCCTCAATGGGTAAAGTCACTTGCACTTGGTAAATTTTAAAATCAGTACACTGATAAGAAAGTATAATAGCAATACTGCATTACCAAACAGTAATGAGTAGAATGATACTTCTTTAAAAGTCAGATTAACATTCACTAAAAGAAAAGTAACTATTTAACAAAAGTCATCCTTATGCCAGGCTACTTAGATAACAAGTGCTTCAGTAAAAATCAAAATTAGTTATGGAATATTCTAAGTCAGCACACAACTTTTAAACTCACAAAGTATATTATTCCAGAGCCAAAAAATCCCAAATATAAAGGAGGGATACTTTTACATAGCAGAAAGTTTTTTCAATGTCACAATTCAACATTAGTAGGTATCTATACTGTGCTAAATCAAGATCTTCCTTATTAATTTGCTTTTCAAGGATAAAAACCTGTGTCCTACACATTATTCAGTTTGAAGATGCACTCAATAACTTGGGTGGCCTTTCATCTTTCCAGGCCCTATCCATGCCTGAGATGCATATAGGATGGGAGAGGAGTCAGTGGAATATGGAGTGTTGCTGGATTAGATATTCAGTCATGGATAATGATCCCAGCTCTGCTGTGGATAAGTGAGTGACCTTATTGTGGGTATTTGACCTCTCTGGGGCACAGGTTTCCTGTTGGCAAACTGTAATTATAGTGGCTCTGCCTGTTTCATAGAGTATTTGCACAAGTCAAGCAAAATGCCACACAACTACACTCAGCAAAATTCAAAGTCCTTTAGTACCCATCCTTACCTATGCAAAAAGTTTTAAGGGTATGTTTTGATAAACCTTCTCTCAAGAAAACAGTTGTGAATGAGTGTAAACCCAGTTGGAGATAGATAGGTCTGCAGTTTGAGGCCAGCCTGAGTGAGACCCCATCTCAATCAATAAAGCAGGGTATGGTGGTTCATACCTGTGATTCCAACTACACAGGAGGCCATAGGTTGGATGATGGAAGTCTGAGGCGACCCTGGGCAAAACAGTGAGATGTGCATGAAAAAGAACTTAAAGCAAAAAAGAACTGGAGGCATGGCTCAGAAAGTAGAGCATCTGCCCAGTAAGTGCAGGACCCTGAGTTCCAACCTCTGTACTGTCAAAAAAAATAAATAAATAAACAAAAACCAGTTGCCCCATTATGCTTTTCACTGAAAGAGAATTAAAATGCTTTTATCTGAATATGTTAAATCTCAATCAGATAAAAGATGGAATTTAAATTATCTAGAAAAATCATTTGACACTATGACTTATTTGTGAAAACACTGTCTGCAGGGCTTGGAGAGGCTCTTTCCAGCAGGTGGCAGTATACACATTTTAGAGATGGTCATGGCCTTTGCTTAACACACCTCAGGGACTCACTTGCACTTTGTATGGCAATCCTTTCCCATATTTACACATACACAAAATTAAATAAAATTAAAAAACATTCTGAGGAAAATGCTAAATTTTGAATGTCTGCTCACTTGACTCTTAAAGGTAAAGAAAAATATTGAAAACATTTTATTTAGATTTTAATGTCCCCTGATTATGATATTACATAAGATATATCAAGAAACCCCTATGAGCTGGCTACTTTTAACCACTCAATAAATGATATGTAAAAAGAATTAAAAGCATACTATACCGAATTAACAACTCAAATTTATCAGGAGGGACTAATATTTGTTAGAAAGTACTTTTATGACTTTTAGTGACAGAGAAAGAATTTTATTCTGATGTAAAAGCAATATCAACAGCAACCAAAATCTACAGCTAATGTTAGATCAATTTTCCATGTTCCAAACACATTTTCTGTTTTCCTTTTTTTTTTTTGGTGGCAGTGGGGTTTGAACTCAGGGCCTCACACTTGCTAGGCAGGTGCTCTTACCGCTTGAGCCACTCCACCAGCCCCCCAAACACATTTTCTGGAAGGGAGCAGTACCGGGGTTTGAACTCAGGGCATCATGCTTGTGAGTCAGGTGCTCTATCACTTGAGCCAATCTACCAGTGCTTTTTTGTGTTGTATGTATTCGAGATAGGGTCTCTTTAACTATATGCCCAGGCTGGCTCTGAATTGCAATCCTCCTGATCACTGTTTCCTGGGTAGCTACAATTATAGGTGTGAGCCACCATGCCTGGCCATTCACTGTTTTAAACATTTGAATCTATATATATGTTTCAAGTAATCCATGAAACAAATTTAAAGGTAATATCATTCCCATTTTGTATCTAAAGAAACTGAGACCCAGAGAAATAACTCGTCCAATATCAT